TCCGGGTCCACTGGTGGAACCTCCTCTAACCGGTTCGGTAGATTTGACGAACCGGTTCTACCGAATAGGTGCGAACTGGTAGGAACCCACCTCTGGGTGGGCTTCAAAAATGTTAGTAGGGAGTTCTCTGCCCGGTTGCTGGGTGGGCATGGTTATGCTGGGCGTGGCCTAGTCAGCCTTCTGCACCACGGGGGGGGGGGTGCCTTCCCCGGGCTCCAGAGGCTTTGCTCAAGTCTCTGGGAGGGCGAAAACATCCTCCCCAGGCCCGTTTCCAGCCTTCCCGAACTTCTGGTCAGGCTGTTTTTACCCTCCCTGAGCCTCCGCACGCACCCTGCATCCAAAACGATCAATGTTGGGACTCCTGGTAGGGGAGGGGTGGAGAGGGCCAGCCAGGAGCAGGATTTGGAGGTTCTCCAACTGCACAGAATTTTGGCTAGAGGTTCTCCCGACCCCTGCGAACCCCCAGCAGCCCACCCCTAACTCCATCCATACCTCCTTCCCCCCACCTCTAGAATTGCAATTACTAATATGGCAGGTGTATACATTACCTTAGCCTTCTGGTATTTCATGTTGAGATTATCGTCCGACGTTGTACGCTGTCCATCTACAAGAGTTTCATTCTGTTCTTGGGTTTCTAGCAAGTTGCCATTTACTTCATCTTCCCCTCCATTCAAATCCTCTCCATCCCCTTCATGGAAATGAGTACCATTCTGTTTGATTGTTGGCTCACTTTTTGTATCTCTATGATCAGCGTCCTTATCTACATTTGACAGCCAGTCCAGAAGATTTTCTATCACATTTTTGCTCTCTTCAAGTTGTTGTCTAGCCGCAACCTGAACAATCGAAGTTCAAACCATTCAGTAGCTTGCTCAAAAATATTTACAGGTACAGATGTAAAATGTCCCCCAATATATGATAGTAATTCAAATTTTGGCTGAAAATGAAAGAACTTTCTGGCTATCAAACCGGTAAGTCTAAAAACAAACGTGAAAACGAAGATGCTCCTTGATTCGAAAAAACAAACAACAACAATCTTGAAGAGCACCCGGAGGGTTCAGCTGGTTCAGAATGCGGCTGCGCAGGTTATCAGGGGGGCACCTAGGTGCTGCCATGTTACCACCCTTTTAGGCGGCATGCACTGGTTGTCGGTTGTCTT